TATTCAAAAGACACCATGCTGTCAAAATATATATGGGAATTCAAAGATAAAAATATTGATGATTTTACACTGAATCGGTCCATCCTTAAAACAGTGCCTGCATATAACAATATTTCCAAAAAATGCATACTATGTCTACAAGAAAAATTTGAAATAATTACACATACAAACCAAGAATGTTTATTAAACAAAAAATCGGAATTGATTTCTAAATGCAGGCACGAAAATAAGTTTCTCCTTAAAAACTATAAAAATAAGTGAGCTCAAATAATAGTTACATTAACTCCCCTTTGAAAAAAATATATTATTTTTTAAAAAAGCTTAAGTAATCATTTCTAAAGAATTCTTTTTACAATAGTGTCAGCAAATTACACAAACGTGTGAAAAATTGCAGTAGTTAAGACATGTGACTTCCTGTAATTTAATTTTTGGTATAAATTGAAGTTTTATTAATTTGATCATTCATTTCTGATGAGTCTTTATTGATGAAACACAGTGTTAAATGAGAAAAAATTTAGCTAAGTGATTTTCTACTAATTTATATATATATATATATATATATATATATATATATATATATATATATATATATATATATATATATATATATATATATATATATATATATATATATATATATATATTATTTTTTTTAAAAAAAATTTTATAATCATATCACTTATAATATGTTAAAGGGGTAAAAAAAAATTATAACTTAACAATACTCAATTTTCAAGTCAATAATACTTATTTCATGATAAGTTTTTTCTTTTATGACATTATAAAATTGAAATTTCAAATATGAATTTAGTCAATTCAAGCACTGATGAGCATAATTTTGCATTTTCATAATTAAATTTTGTGAGCCAGATAGATGACCATGCTATTATTATACTATTTTAAAGGCTTATTGAATCATTCGGATTTTTATGTTCATAATTTTACTATTATCAGTAGTTTGATAGGGTTTTTCACTTGATCTGGCATCTCGTTAATGAAAATCAAAAACAGCAGTAGTCCTTATGTTATATTAGATGCTATGCAACAAAGCCGGAAATTCATCCCGCCTAACCGGGGTACCCCGGTTAGGCGGGATGAATTTCAGGTGCGGGATGAATTTCAAATATATCGAACAAAAAATCGCAACAGTTGCGATTTTTTGTTCGATATATTTGAAATAAGAAGCACTTATAAAATTATTAACTATTTTTGTTTCTATACGCAGTTGAACGATTTAAACTTAAAAATTATTAAATGGTCATTGAATTTCTTAACATAACTGTCCAGTCGAGCCAGGGTGATTTTCAACTTGTGTTCATATGAAGAATTTTCACCCCGCCTGACGGGGATCCCGGTAGTCCATAGGCGAGATCCCGCCTAGGCGGGGTCGAAGAATTTATATATGAACGCAATGTTAAAATTATAAGAGTTTATTAAGATAGGCGGGATCCCGTTTGTTTTTCTGTCCCGGTTAGGCGGGATAATTTTATCCATATGAACAGCCCCTAAAATGAGTTGATTAATTGCAATCGGAGAGTTTTTAAAGCAGTTTGTTTTTTGATTGCATGCATAATTTCGATAGGTCAATGGTTTAATGCGCTGTCATCGGTGTCGTTTTATAGTTTTTTTTAGCTACGGGGGTTATTTTTTTTTTTTTTTTGAATCAGTAGCAGGACTGTCATATTAATTTTTTTCCTTATTAAGTTTTAGGACCATAATATATTTTCCGACCATCCGAAGCTTGTTAGAACTAATTATCTGAGCATTATAATAACATAAGTATGACGGATGCGCAACAAATATCTCCTGGTTTTTTGATGTTTTTAGAATTTTTAAGCTTTTTAAAAAATTCTTTACGTTTCGTTTGTTATAGTGTATAATATTTTTAAATAAATCAATCAATATATTTCTGAAAAATTTGGTATTAAATTTCAAGATTGTTTACAAATATTATTAACTACTAACATAAAGTAAAAACCTAATGATAAACATTAAAATAGTAATGATAATAACAATAAAAATAATATTGATAATAATAATAACAATAATAATAAATAATAATATTAACAACAAATAATAATAATAATAATAACATCTCATTTTAACAATAGTAATAATAATAATAATATAGTAATTATAATAATTTTAATAAATCGGTATAACTTTCCATTCAACAATCGTTTATACATAGAAAGTTACAGTTACAAACAGTAATAAACTGATAAAACGTAACAACTAACGATGACAAAAAATGACTATTGTTAAAAAAAATTATAGATATTTAGTAAATATATTAATAATAGTTCTAATAATATAATAAACAAAATATATTGCAAATAATATGAATAAATAAATAAATAAAATACAAACAGAAAAACACTGAGAAAGTCAAAATAAAAGTTACAACAAACATTACAAACAAAAGAAAAAGTTACGTTACTTTTGGCAAAAAAAAAAAAAAAAAATCAACAACCTTAAATTAAAAATAAAAAACAAAAATAAATAAAGAAAAAATAATAAAACAGAGTAGATTAAAATATCTATAATAAATGGCTAAAATGAAAATAAAACCTTATAATATTTAACTGTATAAAAAATCATATATCACTATTTAATTAATAACTAAAAAGTAAAACAATATATGACTAACAAAAAATAAAAAGTAAAAATTTTATACGCGAAAAAACTAAAGAAAAATTGTTACTACAAAACCGCATAACAGCATAACTAAAAAATAAATCGTAAATAATGAAATATATGAAAGAAAACTCAAGAAATATATGAAAGAAAACTAAAGAAATATATGAAATAAAGTAAAGAAATATATAAAAAAAATCTTGATTTGCTGATCTTTTTCGATGTATAAATAGTTTTTTTTTCTTTTCCTTTTTTTATTTATTTCATTCATTAACTTTTATTTTTAATACTTCTTTACTTTGATTACTTTGATTGATTGACTAAGATAAATTGATTGTGAAAGGTTTTAACGCTATTTGATAAAAAAAAAGACTTTATAAAATTGTAAATAGATTTTATAAATCAAAACAAAGGAGATGTTGCCGCGATGCAGTTTTCAAGTAAAAGTTAAAGTGTATATAAAATGTTAATATATATAAAAACTTGATATATGTTATTATATGTTTTAGCATTACATAGTATGAAGTTTACATAAGTTAGATAATTGCATGTACTTTCGTTCTCGTTGTCCCATAAAAAAAAAAAACTACTGTGAGTCTTTCTTGCCATTGTTACCTCGTTTATACCTCGTTTATACCTCGTTTGCAATGGCTGCCAAGAGTTCCGTGTCAAACACGCTCGAAAGGACAGTAATAGTACAAT